GGAAAGAGTCATGGCCAACGGCCATTTAATTAATTTGCTGTCTGGGGAAATTGCACAGGAACTGGGAAGAAAGCCCAGGTATGAAGACTGCTACGTTGTGCAGAATACAATGCGTTTGTTGTTCAGAACTCCAGTGGAATACACATTTTATAAATACAGTAAACTAATATAATATTACAATTGTAAAACAAATGTTCATGTAAAAATATCAGAGCCACAACACGTTCCTGCATTTCCTAGTGATTGTTGACCGGAAGTGGAGATTTTCATCCACACAGACACTAACAGAGGAAACTACTATTAGGCCGGATCCTGTGCTGTGATACCACAGGTGAGAGAGCCCGATTCAGGATGACATTAGGCGTTGTTGAAAGAACCAGGCAGCAGGCTTTCACATGGGGGGGAGTAGAGGGCAAGTAGAGGGCTCGGCAGACATAGCACTTGTGCTGGGAATTTTACACAGGTGCTGAAAACAAAACTCCCATGAGATTTTACAGATGAGTCCAACAAAATGATGAGTGTAAGTGGCCAATGTCACACCTTGCCAATGAGGAACTGGAAAAGAAATCCTCGTGTAATCTGACCCAGGGGCCGCATTTATAATGAATTGACCAGGGTGCTCACTGAAGTGGGTTTTCATTAGTTTTCTTCTCTTCGGTCATTATTATTAAAAATATATTTATTGAACACTTAGCAAGAGCTGAGCATCATTTTTGTGGCTGAAGAATTAAATGCGATTAAGTCACTAGTCTGTCTTTGAGAGTCTAGAGAAGCGGGCACCTCCATAAATAACACACTACAACACAGGTGGTCACTCTGGAAGATATATGCACAATGCAATGAATGCAAAGAAGTAGGGAGGGAGGGGTTCTGTCCTTGAGTAGGGGGTGGAGTGTGACCATGATATTGAGCTAGACTTTGAAGAAGAGGCAGTCTTCCCTCAGTGGAAAAGAGTAAGGCCGCTCTAGTTAATGGGAACACTGAGGGCTTCCAGGTTTCATAGACTTAATGGAGGAGGTTATTATAAAAGAGCCAGGCCCTGGTTTCACAGGGGAATTCACCTACATCTGCAAAGGTCATATATTCCCAAGACTACTCAAATTATGTCTGAGTATAGGAAAAGAAGAAAAGCCACAAGATGTTTTTATGAAACAAGAATTACATTATCATCTAAACTTTGGTTACATCAATAGCAAAAAAGAATTTTAAGAATAAAATTACCAGGAAGTATGTAAAGAAAAACTGAAATATTTTTGAAAGATACAAAAGTACATTTGAATATATTTGGAAATTATTTTGGGATAGCATGAGTAACCATTATAAAGCTTTATTTATTTCTATTTTAGTAATAAATTTAAATTTATTGACCCCAATAAAAATAATAAATTTGCTTTAGGAAACTATTTAAGTAGATTTGAAGTTTATATGGCAAAATATACAAAAATAGCTAAGAGAAGACTAAAAAAAGAACAATGAGAAGTGAGTATATTAAAACTTATTATAAAGCATCCATAATTGAAATAGTGTGATATTGATTCACAAATAGATAGAAAGACAGAGAGAACAATGGGAAAAAATAGAAAGTTCACAAATAGACAAAATGCAAATAGAAATATAGTGATGACATTTTTAGAATGTCAGGATATGACAGAGAGGTAGGAAGTACAAAGAAAATGGTGGGAATATGTAAAATAAACACAGAAGGTATCTTGTAGTTGCTCAGACTAGTCAAATTTGGGACAATTTCAGCATCAACAATTATAATATTAATGCATTATATCATATAGAGAATATAAAAGTTCAAGGGTTACTGAAAATAGACAAATAAACAATAAATGCATACATTCAAGAGTAAGAAAGAAAATCTCTTTATGGAAAAATGTGTACTAATATATGGAAGAAAAATATAAAATAAGGCAATTACCATTTTTACACACCAAAGTAATAATTGACTTAGACACGGTACATATATCAACGGATACTAAAACCAAGGGGTAAAAAGTTTTGGGGAAACAAGATATCCACGTAGTCTCAAATGCTGCCTCACAGATTACTTATGATTTACAAAGGATAAGCAGTACAACTGAAATAGAGATCTGATGGATGTCACCTTTACTAAGTGATCAAACTGACCATCACCAACAATGAGACAAAATGATATTATGTGTCCCCTCATAAGATACAATGGGAAATACACAATATTACCTTTGTAGAATTCCTCCCTAAAGAATATAATCAAGAGAACCATCAGACAAATTCAAAGTATGACACTAGCCTGGCCGGCATAGCTCAGTGGTTGAGCATTGGACCATGAACCAGGAGGTCACAGTTCGACTCCTGGTCAGAATATGTGCCTGGGTTGTGGCCTCGATCCCCAGTGTGGAGTGTCCAGGAGGCAGCCAAACAGTGATTCTTCCTCATCATTGATGTTTCTATCTCTCCCTCTCCCTTCCTCTCTGAAATCAACAAAAAAAAATTATTTAAAACACAAAGAATGACACTAAAGAGATATGACAACCAAATGTAACGTGAAAGGTTCATTGATTCTTGTATTCTCAGATTCTGACAATATATATGTATACTAATATATATATTAGTATACAGACTACATATTATTTATCTCATACAAACTTGCAGCTAGTACTAAATAAGTTCTAGAGCTCTAGTGCACAGTTTAGTGAACACAGACAACAATATTATATTATAATCATCAAATTTGCTAAGAGACTACATCTTAACTATTCCAACCACAGAAAAAAATGATGATGATAGAGGTGCTAACCTCACTACCATGGCAATCATATTACAATACATAAATGTATTAAATAAAAATGTATACCCTAACTTTGGACAATGTTATATGTAAAATATATTTCAATGAAAAGTGATAAAATGAATTTTAAAATAAAGAATGGGGATAGAAGGAAGCTAAGGATCATGAGGGAGGGGAGATTGTGGGACAAGGAGTGCAAGATACTTAAGGGCAAGACAGGGATGAGAAAGATGGGCAAAGAGAGAAGAGATTTTGTGGGCAAAGACAAGTCTACAGGCAAAGAGCAGGAGGGGCTAAGGATGTAGTAAGGAGGAGAAGGGACAGTGGGGTGTGGGATTCTGAAGGTCTCAGAACCCTGTAGTCCTGGTTTCCTATGCCCTCTTAGGGCCAAGAGTCTGTGCATTTTTAATCGGTTGAAAGAAGTAAGTTCTTGGTAAATCTGTAAACTTGGTCCCTGTAGCCAAGGCTGTTGTGTGTTCTGTGCTACCTCTCTTCTTCTCTAGCCTTTAGTAGAGGGCTCCTTCTGTACCCAGGCCCAGCAAAAGACTTGGTAAATTGGTCATTCGGAGAAAATAAAAAACCATAAAATGGTGGCTAAACAAGATGACTTTTTAAAAGATTCATAAGGGAAAAGAATAAAATGAAAAATTCCCATGTGACATGCTAATGTTTTTGTTATATTCACAAGAATATATTTTAAAAGGTTAATAGTAACTGACAGCTGGCAGAGGATAGGGCACAGTGGTTTCTGGATGAAAGAAGGTGAAGGAATTAGTCAAAGAACAAATATAGTAACCCATAGACACAGACAACAGGGGAGTAAGAGTGGGGTGGGGAGAGGTAGAAAAAGGAGGGAAGTGGGAAGACCTGTAATGGTGTAAACAATGAAAATAAGATAAAAAGATTAATAGTAAAGTTCAGCACATTTTTAATTGTCTATTGGCTTTTTAAATGTGTAGTCATATAAATGGCCTATTTATATTCTTTGTCCATTTTTCTATAGATTTGTTTGTCTTTTTTTATTTGTATACATTTAGGTATTATGCATTATAAATATCAAATCTTTGCCTGTGATACGTGTTGCAAATATTTTATCCCATTTTAATTCTTGGCATTTAAGCCTTTAATGCATTTGAAGTTTATGTTGGTGTCTGGTACAAGACTGAAATCTAAAGGGATTTTTCTAATTAGAAGTTAAAATTTTTTCATAATGCTATTTGTTGAATAACTCACCTGGTTCCTATTTATCTGCAATGATTTTTTTTTCTTAAGTCTCATTATGTGGTAGGGTCCATTTTGGGATCATCGATTGTGTTTTAGCCAACTGTTCTGTGAATTCTTACACACAGGTTTAATTATTGTTGTGTTATTATGTAGTTTTGGTTCATACTTTTGTAAATTTCTTAGCCATCTTCATATTTTTACTATTTTGATAGCTGAGATTTAGAAACATTTTATCAAGTGAAAATATAAATATTGGCATTTAGGAAGCTTGTCGGGGAGATGGAGGTATGTGGTATGAATTTACATACTGTATTAATTCTTGATGTGGATGTGCAATGTGTCCGCCTCTCCAGTCAGCACACTTCCATTGTGCACTTTGAAGTCCATCCCACCCCGTGGGTCTCCAGGCAAAGCAAGGCTGGCCAACCCAACTAGTAGTTATTCATCGTCTTTTGTTTGTCAGACTGGTTACCAACAACCATGTTAAGAAGCCCAGGCTTTGGAGCTCACACTTTATCTGCAGGTTGTTTTGCAAAACCTTAAATGTGTCTCCTCTTCTACACTGTGTACTACGTGGTTCTGAGCTTGGGCTGCAGGGCGCTCAGGTAAGCAGCACATTGTCTATGAAAGGAATTTGCATTTAATTCTTGACATGTCTTTATGAAATGGAGGATGCAGACTTTTTAATGGTATCTTTTCTTACTTTTTTTAAAGTAAAAATGAGCAAATGTGCCATCTTTGAAAATGATGACTGCACACAACTACAGACTTAGTTACAGCAGAAGATGTATACTTAATGGACTCAGATCTTAGGCCAGAAAGGGATCTCAGAGATTAATGGTTTCAATTTACAGATAAGAAACTAAAGCCAGAGGGTTCCGTGACTTGCCCGAGTGCACAGTTAACCACTCCATCAGGATCAGAACCCAGTTCTTATTGTTTCCAAGCCCTACACTCTCGCCACAGTATTGGGTTCTCCTACCACATTTATTGGAGGGGACTTCCAAGATTACAGCTGAGACCTCAAATACAATGAAATACACTATGTGGACAATATAGACTTAATTGGACAAAGAAGAAAATGCAGCCGAAACCGGTTTGGCTCAGTGGATAGAGCGTCGGCCTGCGGACTGAAGGGTCCCGGGTTCGATTCCGGTCAAGGGCATGTGCCTGGGTTGCGGCCACATCCCCAGTGGGAGGTGTGCAGGAGGCAGCTGATCGATGTTTCTCTCTCATCGATGTTTCTGGCTCTCTGTCTCTCTCCCTTCCTCTCTGTAAAAAATCAATAAAATATATTAAAAAAAAAGAAAAGAAAATGCAGATAAAGCGGTTGTTTGGCTGCCATTCAAGTCAGCTGGTTTTCAATGTACCACAAAAGCAGGTAAAGCTAATGACTTCCTGTTATATGTGAAGAGTAATGTACAAAACCTTGGTGTGCAAAGTTATGGAGTGCCTTCTCCAACATAAACTATTTTCATTTGTAACATCTCCAGGGTGGAGGAGTTGGATGTTCTGGCACCATTTGATTTCAAAACAAATCCCACATGGGCCAACTATAATGGTAATCAACTTTAATGTTCAGTCTTTGTCAATGAGTGAACTAATTGCCTCCAAAAACCAAAATAGTTTTAGTTTTATAAAATGTTTTGAAATATCAGGCCTTTCTCTCCGCCATCTGTATCTTATTCCTGACTTCAAAAATGAATGTGGAAAAGCACTATACAATGTTTAAGTGGCTATTTCTAAAAGACAGAATGGGATGGAGTAAGTGGAATAAGTGGATAGTGTTCTTATTTCAATTTTTATTTGTTGGTATTACGGGTAAACCTTTGTGTATTAAGCGCTTTTCAAAAATAAAAGGAAGAATGGCTTAGTGTACTGATGTAGAAAAATGTTTGTGAGATATGAAATGGGTCAGCCAGGGAGAGATAGGACAATGACACGGGCCTATTGGGCAAGGCTGTGTTTTTACACAGGAGAGATTAGTGAGGATCCCAGGATGCCGGCACAATTTACAAAGTCCTTTCCTCTCACAAAGCACTAACATTTATACAAAGATATCAATAAACCTCCAACCTTTTAGAGCTTTAATTTGGGGCTCAGGGAGATAAGTGCCATGACTCTTCAAAGTTGTTACTGTGAGAATCCAGACTTGTTTAATCTTGGAGATAAAAAATGTATGAGTAATCTCAGATCCTTGGGCATGTATTTGGGGTCAAGTTTCTCGTCTGTTTAAGCAATTTTGTCATCCAGAAGCTGATGTTTAGGAAGGACACGAAGAGTGTATTGCAGAAAGTAGATTGCAAATTGCTTTCATTTTCAATTAAATTCCTCCCAACAACTTTTTGGGGTAGATAAATAGTACTCCATTTCCCAATTTATAGAAAAGGAAACCGACGGAGCCAGAGGTTAAAATCCTGCTCAAGGTCTTATAACTCTTAAGCTATACGGCAAGACGAGAACACCGGCATCTTGACTTCCAAATTTGTACTACGTCCTTTCCATCACACTTTTTCGCATATCAGAAACAAAGAAATTTTCTATCGATATATGCAAATAAAGTTTGTTCGAGACTAAAATCGCTATCTCTGAGCAGCTGCGAGTTAACCTCTAAAATCTGTACATGCTGATAAAAGCCATCTCTAGTTCTCTTTTTAAAAAATTCCTCCTGGACTGTGGGTGTAGTGGGGGAGGCGAGCATGGTTGGTGTCACAGGGGGCGAAGAGGGGCCGGGAACCAAGACACTGGACCACCTCCCGCCACCCTCTGGCAGGTCCAGGTCTATAGGTCGTGGCTTTGGGGAGGAGCCGCACGCCCTGCCCCCC